TTACTCTCTTAATACGATGCTTAATAGGTATCAGTCAAACATTCTTGGCCCCATCCCTCTCCATTTCTCCAACTCTGTCCTGGATAGCAGCTTAAGGGCTTCTGTGAGGTCTTAGTCCTTTCTTCCCAATGAAAAGAGCAGGATTAAGGAACATTGAAAATCACATGCTGCTCCCACACCCTAGGAGTCCCATGCTGTGTTCAGGCTGGAGTCTCCTGTAGGGGCAGAGGAAGGCCCAGGTGTCTGTCCTTCTTTCCTCTGTCAGGCAGGCCCCAGCCCCCTTTCCAACAGCCAGCCTTAGTGACCTGATGGGTAGCTGTTTCCTCAGAGACAAACTGGACAAACGAGCAAACACTTCCAGAGGAGGCCACAACCAGAAACAATGGCTTGGGCCAGTAAATATGGCAGCAACATCAACAGTATAACAGCAGAGGGCAGGGTTGCTCTACTACTCCCACATCAGGATCCTGAAACCCAGGAGAAAACTAACGGCACTTTTGTTGACACTTCAGAGTTCAAGCCTTTGAACCAATACCTTTCAATGTTATCTGACACCACCAATGTGTGGCAGGCAGGGTAAGGGTTTTTGCCCCCTTATTATAGAAGAGGAAACTGAGGCTCAGTGAGGTTAAATGACATACCCATATTCGGGAATGCCAAGAGACTCTTGTAAGGAAACAGAATGGCTGGGTTCAAATCCCAGCTATGCTACTTACTGGTTCTGTAACCTTAAGCAAGTAACTTCCATTTCCCTATTTTTTTTTCCTTTTTTTTTTTTTTTTACTGACCGGCAACGGGATCGCAACCCCCGGTGTTGCGCCCGCACCGCGCTCAGCCAGTGAGCGGGAACCGGTCTCCACATGGGATCCGAACCCTCGGTGGGAGCGCCGCCGCGCTCCCAAGCGGCGCGCTCTCCAGTGCGCCACCGGGCCGGCCCGCATTTCCCTATTTTTAAAGTAGTTAAGACCAGTACTACATCTTGTGGGTTGCTGTAACGATTAAATGAGATAACACACGTGAAATGCTTAAGATACTGTCTGGCACAGAGCACTTAACAAATGGAACCTATTACTGTAATTATGATCCTGCCATGCTTGTTTAGATAAGGATGAGGGTGAGAAAACGAATGTGGTTTTTAGCATCACAGAAAGTAGCCGGTTGTCAGCCAGCCCATTTCAACACAGTCTCTGGTTGCTACATGTGTCATTTCTTCACTGGCCTTCCTGGAGTCACAAATTTAGCAGAAATAGTCTGTTGTCTGATGAAGTAAAGACAGCCTTCTATCTGCATTAACCCTTTTCCAGAACATAGGCATTAGTAATCTTTTTCTCAAAAGAGAAAGCTGAAATAGTTTGTGCTTGTGATCCTGAGAAAACGAGGTCCTGAGAGTTCCCAGGTGCCTTAAGAGTGGTGGATTTTCCCACTGATAATGCCATTAGGAACCAGGTCAAGCAACAGTGACCCAGGTTGGGGCCATAAAGACTAACAGAGGCAGCTTTCCCCTTTTAGGACCCCTCCTCCTTAGCCAAAAACTTCTGAAAAGGGTGAAGGAACAATGATCAGAAAACTTGTCAAGGTTCTTTGGCTTGCCAATATGCCAATAATTCACAGTTCCACACTTTAACCTCAGCTACAAAGGACAACTACTCTGGCTGCTCTCCTGGCCTCCCCCAAGGAGAGTGGGCCAGTTCCAGAGAGCTTCAGAGAGGATGGCTCCAGATCTAGAATTGACAGCACTGCTCAAGAAAAGGGAAGACCAGAAGTAGAGTTTAAACAGGTCTGTTGGGAAGGCTTGGGAGAGGAATCAGTAGGGCTGATCAGCCATGTGTCCAGGAGATCAGAAGGATCCTGGCCAGATGCCCAACTGTACCAGCACAATGACAGACTGGGCTAATTCCAGGAGGTTTGTCAGCTGGCCTCCACTGCACAGTTCTAGGTTCTAGCCTTAAGTGGCTCCTGATTGTCCTGAGCACCTGAGCAATCTAGCAGAAGGCTATCAGAGGCAGGATTACTGATGTGGCTGCAGACAGGAAAGTGGGGTAGTGTAAGGAAGAGGAGAGGGGAGGAGCTTGGGCCAACCCCAGAAATTTCTCCATTCAATATCCAGCTCCATCCTGTGACTAGGAAAACAAAGGTGTAGGAGGAAGGAGAGAAGAAAAGTCATTTCCTTTACTGTAACTGTAGCCCAACTGGGTAAGAGCAAGGCTGGAATGGAGCCATGAAGAATGAATTTCCCTGAGTAGTACAAAGGGAGGGTACTGCTTCCAGTAGGCCTGCACCCAGACACACTAATTTCATCACAGAATCACAGGCAAGGTGGGGTGGAAGAGATTGTAGAAGACCCTTCAGCCTGATGCTCCACGGTCCTCATAACCGGTGTTACCTCGCGAGTCAGACAAATATGAATCACAGAATCACAGGCAAGGTGGGGTGGAAGAGATTGTAGAAGACCCTTCAGCCTGATGCTTCACGGTCCTCATAACCGGTGTTACCTCGCGAGTCAGACAAATATGATCCTTCCCAGTCCTGATGATCTTCCTCCAATTTGGGCAAAAGCCAAATTGGCTCCAAAAGACAGTCAATCTCCCCAGGACAAATGACTGGGCTTTACCTTTGGGAGTCATGTCATCTAGTTTCAGTTTATCATAGGGAAGCTCAGGGGTCAGGAGATGAGCTCTTTTAGAAGAGCTGGTTTAGAGTCTCTGTCCTCAAGGGGAAGCTACAACTAGGAGACTGAACCAAGATGCTCTACTTCCCCCACAGGCATGGTATTTGGTATAATTGTGCCAGTGTGGTTCACAGATGCCCTTAATCCCTCAGCATCAGATAGCCAATGAATGTGTAATGAGAGAAATAAATGTATACATGTAGGTGTATATAGACACACACTTACAACATAATATGAAGTGACAACTACTGATTATTAAGGGTTTTCTATGTGTCAGATACTATACTAGGCACTTTATATAGGTTATCACATTTAATCCCCCCATGTGAGATGAGTAATGTTCTTATCCTCATTTTATAGATGAGGTTCCTGAAGCTCAGGGAAGTCAACTAAGGCCAGTTAATATACTGCAAAGCCAGGATTTAAAACCAAATAGTCTTGTTCTATCGCCTGTACTCTTTTTTTGTTTCTTGTTTTCCTTTTTTTGGTTTGTTTATGCCATGGCCTATACTCTTATCCATAATGCTAATGTGCCTTCTTTATGTACATGTATTTGTGTGTATATGTTTCTCTCTCACTCTCTTTCACACACACACACACACACACACACACACACACACACACACACACACACACCTACCTACCTCTCTAATAAGCTATCATCTGACCAGACCTACAAATGATCCAAGAACTCAGTTTGAGGGCCAGCTCTTGTCATCCTTGGCCTCTCTAAGTGACCCTGAGCAAGTCCTTTTGGTTTCAGGCCTCTCATCTGTGATGTGAAAGGATATACCACACAGCAGGTGGACCCTTCTAGTTCTGAAGTTCTTTAGCTCTAGGAGAATCCAGAAACACCAAATATTAGATTGTTCTAACCTGTCCTGTTTATTTTGGATAGAAAATACTCATACAAATAGGAAAACAGCAGGAATGAACGTAACCATATGAGTTAGATGCCAAGGCAAGTCCCAGTCTGGGAACTCATTGGGTCTGATGCTGCTCGTTAGCCTCAGCTGTAAAATAAAAGGGCTATCCAAAGGCTCTATCTATAAGGTTCCTTTCAGCTTTGACGCTCTCTGTTCTGATTATACTAACAGCAAAAAAAAAGGAAGAATCAACTTCCCCCTTGGGAGTAAAGGGAGGAGGAACCAAGGGAATCAGATCTACAGAGAAGATTTGAGAGCTCTGAGTTAGAGCTGATACAGCAGGAAAATGTTGGCTCCTCTCCAACTCTTCCAGAGGCCAGATCTCTCTAGGCCAACCCCCATGTAGTTCCCGGGGGGAGGAAAGCACTTAAATGTCAACTAAATTATTATTATTTTTTAAAAAGATGACCAGTAAGGGGATCTTAACCCTTGACTTGGTGTTGTCAGCACCACGCTCACCCAAGTGAGCCAGGGGCTGGCCCTTCCACTAAATTATTTGATAAAAGCTCTTTGCAAAACAGAGCTGTGCATGGGAGCTGGAATCTACAGCACACGGTGCCTGTCTATAGTCTGTCTCATCAGGACATGAGCACACCCCACCACTTCAGACCATGGGAGCCAGACATGCCCACCCAGCCTCCAGGCTGGACAGCTCCTCCTTCTGCCGATGTGGAATGAGTATGGGACAGGCGGTGTTTTATGTTCTGGAGAATACAAAGACAAACTCCGACCCTTCAATATTCCAATCTGTGGGGGAAAGGAATAACGACTCAGTGGGTGCCTACCATGAGCTGGGTGCTTTGCATATATTATTTCATTCAGTCCCAACAAGTCTGTGAGACAGATTATTAACTAACACCCCTGCTTTCCAGATGAGGAAAATGAATCTCAAACAGCAGGAAGAAATTTGCCTTGAAAGTCTATGCAACTTTCAAGAAACCAAGCTGCCTCTAAACAATAACCTAAGAGCTATAATAAAGTTAATAACAAAAAGTAGGAATCTAGGGAGGCATCCTGTGGTGAAGAAGAGCCAGCTCTTCCAATCACACTAAAAACAACCCTTGAGGCACCTGTGTAGTCATTAGTGCAGACATGAGAAAGTCACTCTTTCTGGGCCTCAGTTTCCTCACCCATAAAGTAAGAGTGTTGGGAGAAACCCTGGAAAAGGCTCCCTCCATCCCCCCCACGCTATCTCCAGCTGCACTTGGCCCATCTGTGGCTCTTCCACTTAAACCTGGCTTTAGGGGTACCACACTTAAGGTATGGTCATGTGCTCTTCCTCGGCACTTTCCTCTCCCCACCGAGATCGAAACTTGAGTCGGAAGTTTGTTTCTGTATTTCCCAGAACACGAAATAGTGCCTGGCCAGTCGTACATTGGTAAAGACAGGAGGACAAACCCACTTACCGGAAGCAAGAGCTGTGCCAGGCTTCATTGACAGTCCGGTACAACCTCTGGCTTGGAGCAACATGGTCCCCACAGCCCCGACACCTCCAGGCATCTTCACCTGCACACAAAACCAAAACTAAGAGGTTTGAGGCCCAAAGTAGCAGGGGCAAAGGGACAGGATTCCTACCATGTAATACCGGACCGGGACCGGCAACGGGATCGCAACCCTCGGTGTTGCATCCGCACCTCGCTCAGCCAGTGAGCGGGAACCGGTCTGTATGTGGGATCCGAACCCTCGGCGGGAGCGCCGCCGTGCCCCCAAGCGGCGCACTGTAGCAGTGCGCCACCGGGCCGGCCCTAGAACAAATGTTTGAAACATTTTTAGAACTCTTACATGGAAGGACTTTCAAGGTCAGTTTATGAGCAGCCACGCCCCACCCCCAGCAAATCTCATTATTTTAGAGCCACACCTTATTTCTTGTTTTTACTTTTTAACCCCAAAGGAATAGTCTCTAACATGACCACCCACTTACTCAACAATTCAGCATCTTGGCTCTGAATGACTTCTGGCTGTTTCCAAAATTCAAAGAGGATCAGGACTTTCCACTATGAGAATATTTGAGATGACTCCTTATTGCCACACCCTCCAGACCCTGCTGTGCTTTCTCCAGTCTTGAGAAACTCAAAGCAATTCAATCAACACTTATTTTAGCACCTGCTCTGTGTTAAGCATGAGGGACAAAAAATCAAGACCCCCTACTCCCTCCTCTCATATCCACCAGGTTCCACCTTCCAAATGTCTCTCTAGTCCTTCCCTGTCATTTGCTCCAGCCCTAGTTCAGGTCTTTGGCTTCTTTCCCCTCTCTACTGCACAATTTTAGCTAGCTCACCCAGACTCCAAGCTATCTCAGCTCTAGGTCAGACTCCCTAGTGTCTACAGAACAAAGGCTGGACTATTTAGCATGGCACTCCTGTCCTGGATCCCATCCTATCCCACCTCTTAGGAGACTTTCAGTTATCTCCACCCCATGCCCCTTTCTGCATCTCCTCCTTCTCATTATCACTTAAATAAGTTCAAGTCTCTCTCATCAGAAAATAAACCAAACTCTGGACCCCATTTTCTCATCTTGCTTCTCCCCTTCACAGCCACATGTAAGAAAAAGTTGTCAATGCATCACTGTCCTCATTTTCTCACTTCCCACTTGCTGCATAATCCACTGCAATCTGGCTTGTACCCTCACCATTTCTCTGAAACTGTCTTACCAAGATCAACAGTGACTGCTTTTGCTAAATTCAATGGACACACTTCAGTCATTCTTTCAGCAAATATTTACTGCATGCCAACTATGTGTCTAACACTGTGTGGGGGAAAGAGCAGTAAACAAGGGAGAGATTAAACATAGAGCAAATATTAAACAATAACAACTATTGACTTATAATTGGGGCAAGTGGTATGATGAAGACATCAAATTCATAAATAGGAAAACAGGGGTAGGGGGCAAAGGAGTATTCCTTGAGGAAGTAATTTCTAAGCTGAGCTCTAAAGGATGAATATAAGTTAAGCAGGCAAAAAAGGGGGAAGAAAGTATAACATTGAAGACAGAGGGAGAAAAACGGAGTATTCCTTGAGGAAGTAATTTCTAAGCTGAGCTCTAAAGGATGAATATAAGTTAAGCATGCAAAAAAGGGGGAAGAAAGTATAACATTGAAGACAGAGGGAGAAAAACAAGTGCAAAGGCCCTGAGGCAGGAACAAAAACTCACACATTACTAGAGTTGGCTATTGTTACCTCTAAAGGACTAGGAAAATCAAGTCTACCCCTGGCCTGCTGCAGTCCTTCAATAAACATTTATTGAAGGAGTGACTGGCCCTTACAAGGTGGCCCCAAAGAACCTTTATCTCTCATCATCCCTTACAAAGGGATACTCTAGTTACATTCTGATCTATTTTCTATTTCTGTCATACACATTCATGTTCTGGCTTCCTGACATTCACACCTAAAGCTACTTCTATGTTTAGGATATTTTCCCCATCTTTTCCTTTAATCAAACTTCTATCCTTCCTTGATGATCCCCCAAAGGCAGGCAGTGTTGATTTCATTTTGTCTATACCAGTTTTATATCATTTGTTCTTTAATTACAGTCCACTGTGCACTCTTCTGTCTCCTCCAGTCTCTCTCTCTCTGCTCTCCTCCCCCCAACTCATCCCCAGCTCTATGGACAAGAACTACATCTTGATCATCTCCATCTCCTCAGGGCCAAGCACAGGGCCTGGTGCAGAACAGACACTCCTTTGTGTGTCAAATCCATCTGAAAAGTTGGATCCAACTGCGAGTTATAAAGGTAATTTCAAAGACAAGCTCCAAAGGCATTCAGGGATAATTCCACCGGAGTAAGTGCTCTGGCTTCCAGGGTGACTACCTATGAGTAAAGACTCATGTGGATACACCTGACCTCAGTTTATCTGTTAATGCACTGCTTTTCTGTTAGAAAGTTCTTGAGTAAGGATATTCACCCAGACCCCTCAGCCTCCTGAGCCTAGACCCTCTTTAAAAGAATAGTTTTGGCCTCTTTAGCTCCCTTACAGTCGTGAAAGTCAATGATCCTGATTCTCTTACAAGCTTTATTATAAGACATGTAAGAGAAATATAATACTGTACTGCGAAGTTGGGGATTTCTATGAAATCCTGTGAAGACCAATTCAGAGTCCAGCCTGCCTAGGAGGCTCTTCCTCTATAAAAATACTTCATTGTACCAGGCTGTTCACCCTCTCCCTCTACAGCATTTACCTCTCATTATTTGCAAAGTTATCAACAATGGCTACTGGCTGTCAGAGTCCAGAAAGGGAGCTTGATTAAGTAAATGTTCACAACAGCATAAAACAATAAGGGGACCTTATTAGGTGTTTAATAAACAGAAAACTGTGCCTTCAGTTATTATTGCAATTTGCTGCTTTTAAGAAGTGGTAAATGTATAATGCAAATAAGGTGAGAATTACAAAAGGCTCATTACAAAGGTTCTCACCTTCAAGATCTTTTAAATCTTAATGTAAAATATATTCACTTTATATATGTTCTTCTCTCCCAACTTAATAATTGGTAATGTGACCCTTAAACAATCTGAAAATCCACTGGGGCAGGCATGAGGATGACAAGATGGTAAGGGTGGAAGAGCCTTTAAAATCATGTAATCTTTTCCAACCATTTCATTTTTCTGAAAGAAAAATGTATTTGAAGAATAGAGTTACCTAACCATCACAAAACTAGTGAAAGCTGGTCCAGCAAGGACTCAAACCCATGCTCTGAGACTACCAGGCCAGTTGTATTTTTATTACCCTATGCAGCCTCAGACAAGTAGAAACTTGCTCAAGACCACACAGTTATTCAGTGGAAGGGCTTGGCGTGGTACCCTGGCTCAGAGCCAGTGCATTTCCCAAAACACTCACTTTAAAATTGATGTAAGAGCTGGGTTTCTGCAAACTCATCTTTTTCAGTTTCAAAGTGGTGAGAAATCCCCAAGCACTGAGAGCTCATGAGACCCTAATGCTTAGCATGAACCAGCATGTACAGATTCTATCCTTTCATTTGAGGAAAATCTCTGAAGCTTCTCATGTTCCATCCAGACAATGAGAACCAGGAACAAAACCTAGCCAATTCAGTGCAGCATAAAACAATAAGTATGGTAATTACTAGGCCCCCTAGGAACTGGTAGGTCAGGTGTATAAACCCCACTTGTTCCAGGAGAAAGCAGGAAGCAGAAGGGCAGGGCAGCAGCTGGTGGGGGATAGCCAAGAGAAAAAGATCATATATATATTTTTTTCCTTTTTGTCTTTTTTACTGACCGGTAACGGGATCACAACCCTCGGTGTCGCGCCCGTACCAGGGACCGGCAACGGGATCGCAACCCTCGGTGTTGCGCCCGCACCGTGCTGGGGGAATTTCAAGTTTTGCTCTATAAACTACTGTATTGTTTGAAATTTTGATACTGAATATTTTAAACTTCACTTCCAAATTATATTAAATTGGAATTTTTTTTTTTCCTTTTTGTCTTTTTTACTGACCGGCAACGGGATCGCAACCCTCGGTGTTGCGCCCGCACCGCGCTCAGCCAGTGAGTGGGAACCGGTCTCCACATGGGATCCGAACCCTCGGCGGGAGCGCCGCCGTGCTCCCAAGCGGCGCGCTCTCCAGTGCGCCACCGGGCCAGCCCAAAAGATCATATTTTAATGAAGTGGCTACCAACAAGAATAACAATATGATTAACATTCCTCTAGATGCTCTGCCCTGTATCCCCAAAGGGTTTTCTTTCTCACTAGGTTACCAAATATAACCAAAGAGTGTCTAATGAAAAAAATTAGATGATTTTTAAAGGAGATTCTGAACTTCTCTGGACCTTAGATTTTCTTTCATAAAAGGAAAGATCAAATGATTCCTTTCATCTCTGAGAACCTACAACACCAAACCTAGGGCTTCTCACTTTTCAGGTTAAGTTTCATTCTTGCTATTGTTCTCTTTTTCCTTTTAGTTTAAAAGGAAAATTTTGTGAGGGTCAAGCAAAAGAGGTTTGAAACCTGGTTCTGTCACTGTTTGCCTCTCTGTCCTTGGATAAATTATTTAATCTCTCTGAGCTTATCTCCTACCTTATAGGATTACCAAACAGATTAAAAGAAATAACTTAATTTATGTGAAAATACCTTCTGTGGTGCCTGGCACTTAGTTGAACCGATTTGTGAGTAACTTCTCTTCCTTCTTGTATATATACCTAGAAGGTTGGCCGAGGAAAAATTTGAGCAGAATACACTAAACTTCTAAAATCTGAAGGGAATGTCTTCAAAACAAACTCGGCAAATTTTTTTTCTACCTGCCTATGTGCAAGGCACCGACTAGGCCAGGAACTATTGGGGCCCTTGGTGAATACTCAGGGGGTGTGAAGGACAAGGATATGTACAGAAATAACACGTCAAAAAGGAAAAAAGTCACGTGCTGGGGGCAGGGCAAATTCGGTACAGTAATAGGATACACCATAGAGAGACAAATTCAGGCCACCCAGATTCTTGCTTCCAACCTTAAGTTTACTTAGCTGTGAATGAGTAGGCATTTTCTTATCTGGAGGAAGGCCTGTAAAGAATCTTTTTACCAGAAAACTGGTTAACCAATTCATATATTCTCCTACAGCAATGCCCTACCTGCTGTCAATTATAGGGGAAAAAGAACTACAGTCGTCCCTTGGCATCTGTGGGGGATTGGTTCCAGGACCTCCTATGGATACCAAAATCTACAAATGCTAAAGTCCCTCATATAAAATGGCGTAGTATAGGCATATAACCTATACACATCCTCCTGCATACTTTAAATCATCTCTAGATTACTTACAATACCTAAAACAATGTAAATGCTATGTAAATAGCTGTTATACTATACTGTTTAGGAAATAATGACAAGAAAAAAAGTCTGTACCTGTTCAGTACAGATGCAAATTTTTTTCCCAAATATTTTTGATCAGTGGTTGTTTGAATCCACAGATGTGGAACCCACAGATATGGAGGGTCTATCAACTGTACTTTGAGCCTTTACTAGGCAGTGTCCTAAGCAAGTATGAATTAATTGAATACAATGATGCCATAAGATAAGGACTAGTACTTAAAGGACTCTTATTGTTCCCATTTTATGGAAGAGGAAACTGAAATACTCAGCTAATAAGTGTTAGAGCTGGGATTAGACCACAGGTCTGCTAGACACCAAAGCCTATGTCTTTAACTATGCTTTAGCCTTTCTTTCCCAGACAAATTACAGGCAGAAACACCTGATGAAATAGAATCCCAAGGTGAATGTTCAAGGAATACTTTAATGGAACCAGGCAATGGTATCATGTTCTAGCTACTATGGGATATAAATTAATAGGTAAAAGAGTCTAATTCTTGTTATTGTATAAAGTAAGTTCAAGAGTGAGAAAGAAAATAGACCTGTAAGAGACTGCTACGGCATTAGATCCTCTCACTGAAATGTCAAGTAATGCCTGGGGGTGGGCCCCACCACTCCTTGTTATTCCCCAAACCCTAGTCCCTCTGGGAATCAGCTCAGCCTCCAGAAGATGCAGAAAACACTCCATGAATGTGGAAAGCCTAATACAGTCCTTGAACATGATAGGTTTTTATTCAGCTTTGAAACCTTGCAGTTCTCTTGGACCCTACCCTGCTCCCTCCATCCCATACCCAAGGCCGTCCAGGTGTTCCTGCCCTGCACATGTCATGAGGTATCTACTACTGGTTGGTGTCTTCTCTATTCCTACCACTAACACCTCATCTCAGGGCCCTCTGTACCCACCTCCAGATTGGTGCCTCTTCCTGCCTCTAAACCTATGGTGTCTACTGCAAACTAGAAAATTCCACAATCCTAAGCCTGGCATTAAACCCTCCACAGTCCAGCTTCACCCATCCTCTCAGCCTTACCTTCCACTGCCTATGACTCCCTTACCTCCCAATCCTTGCCTCCACCCCACTTATCTATTCACCATCCCTTATGAAGACCCTGAAACTTGCCTACTTTCGCATCCAACACTCCAAGTTTCTTCCCTAAGATATCACACCTCCCACACACTTTTTTTTTTTTAACCTAATATTTCTCAAATTTTACCTCCTTCAAGAAGTATTACCTGACCAAAACTGGTAGCTATCCTGGACACTTTCCCATTCTTCAAACATGCCAAGCACATTCCCTGACTACCCACTGCTCCCATCCCTTTATCTTACTTTATTTCTCTTCAAAGCATTTATCCCTGTTTATGATATTCATATATTTACTTATTATTTATCTCTCCCCACCAGAACATATACTCCATGAAGGAAGGGAAGGGATTTGGTCTACTTTGTTCCCTGCTGAGAGTGCTTCACACATGGTAGAAACTCAATATATTTGTGGAATGAATTACTTTTCCCTCATCTTTGAAACTCTATAATGTTATCACATATGGGCCTATTTATAATAGCTTGTCCTGGTTTATCCATTTTTTTCTTTACCCTAACTAGACTGAATTTCTCAAAGGCACAAACCACATATTATTCTTTTCCACAAATACATATTAAGGCTTACTATGTGCCAGACCCTTTATGTCTCAAGCAGCCTGGAATACTTAAAAGAGCACTGGAGAAGTCCTATGTTAGTCCTGGCTCTACCACTAGTTGAGTGACCCTGGACAAGTCCATTTTCCTCCCTGCCTCAGTTTCTTCATATGTAAAAGGAGGAGACTGTATATTATTTCAAAAGTCTCTTGTGGTTCTAACATCTGTTAAAATTTATAAGAGGTAAAACTTGGGCCAACCCAGTGCCGTAGACATCACAGGCACTCAGTAAATATTTGATTTCTTTGTCGTTGATTCTCCTGTTACACAAGAGGAATGAATCTGACTGAGGTGTTTTGGAATACAGTTTGAAAAGAAAAAAAAACAAGTAAATTAAGTCCCATTTCCTTCTCTGATTCCACATACAACCTCACTCTGCTGTTTGTGATATAGAGAGAATGAAGCACAAAACTTGAAGCTGGAAAATATGAACTCTGGCCACCACCACTTATTCGGCTATGGAACTTTGAACAAGTAATTTCTGGGCCTTAGTGTCCTCACCCATAAAAAAGCTACATTGGCCTTATCCCAGCTTATCAAAAGCATCACATGCCTACTTACTCCAGGGCCTTTTTATGCTATTCCCTCTGCCTAGAATGTTCTTTGTCCTTTCTTTGCTGGACTTTTACTTATCCTCAGGGATCAGCAGAAACTTGCTCCTCACTCCTGGGGCAGTCTTACAGCACTTATCTCAATTGTTTATTAGAACTATTATAGCATTTATCTCAATTGCTATCTCTGTCACTTATTGTCCATCTCTAGGACTGTAAGCACCACAAAGGCAAGGACCATGTCTATTTTGTTCACCACTGTACTCCTCAGCACTTGGATAAGTGCATGGCACACAAGTATCCAACAAATATTCTTTGAATAAATGGAAGAATGCATAAACTAATGCATCTAGAGGCTTTATGCCTCCAGACAATGTTTTACTTCATTCAGGGAAGATGTGATAAAAACTACTGTACTCTAAAACCTTTCAAAAGTTTCTGAGAATCACGGGAACCTATATTACACTGTAGTAAGAAAAAGTCACTGGAAATCACTGGAGTTGAAGAACCCTGGGCTAGAAAACTTCTTAAAAGAAAAGGACAGGAGACATTATCCACTCCTAGCTCTTTCTCCAGAAGCCTATTATTATCAATCAGGAGAAAAATCCCATGCTCCCATGGTGAGGAAGTGACCCACTGGTGGCCTGGTCCTTGTATTCAGGATGGAGGAAGTGACTGTCCACAGGCCCAAAGCCAGGAAGTGGGGGCAGATATCCAGCCTCCCCCTCCGCCTTCTCTCCTGCCACCTCTAGAAAGCTTCTGGACATTGACCCTGGTGGACCCACAGGCTGGGCCACCCACACAAGTGGCTGGAAAACACAGGCAACAAAAGGTTCCTGGTGCTGGGGGGACAAACAAGGAGGGCAGGAAGCTGCAGGGTGGTGTGTGAGGTGACTGGGAGGGGACTGCAGCACAGCTAACCCAACCCTTAAGCTACTCTTCACCCTTGGACAACTCTTCCTTCCAGGAGGTGTTTAGCCACATCCCTGTGGTTTCAGAGGCTGGAGGACCCAGCTCCCTATAGGAGGACCTAGAGCCCCAGGGGCCCACCTTCCCCACCTGTAGCAGAGATCTTTAGGCACCAGGAGGTATGGTCCAATCTCCCCTTACTCCTAGTCCGCGTCCTAAACCCTAAGGAAGCCCACACTCCACTATTTCCTGCAAACAGCCCTAAGATCCAGGGTATCCCAGGCACCAAGATAGCACCAAGAAGACTTGGGTCCTGGCGGGAAAGTCATACCTTCCTCCATTTTCCACAGAAAACCCAGAACTGGAGTATAATTCTCCATCTCCCAACTGCCCTGAACTCTAGAGGATGCTGTACTCACCATATTCTACAGAGCCCTCACCCCAAGGGAATCGCAGGCTCCTCAACTCCCTTGAAAAAGGTTTTAATTTGGGGACTTGCGACCACCAGCTTCCCCCAAAAGCTAGACTCTTTGCGGAGCCAGAATTATTTCCTCCCGGGGACTTCAACTCCGAGAAGCCACCCAAACAGCCTGCCTCCGGAGCCCTGTTTCCCAGATGCCCCGTCCCCCCCGGGGGAGAGCTGTGCCCTCCACCCCAAGTCCTTCTGAAGAGCCGGACCCACGACGATCCAATCTGCTAAAACCCTGGAGAGAGCCGCCGACTCCCCTCAGGCGCCATGAGCCCAGCCTTCGGAGATAACGGAGGGACGGGACGGAGCAGCCCTTCCTTACCCGCCAGCGCGGCCATGGTCCCGGGGGCGCGGAATCCGGGAGGAGGTCTCGGGGGACGCCGCAGCTTCCCTCAGCCCCCGCCGCCGCCGCAGCAGGCGAGGAAGAACCTGAGCCCCAGGCGCGAGCGCGAAGCACCGCCTACGGCGCCCGGGGAGGACCAAACTGCACCTGGCACCGGGGCCCACCCGCCTACGCCCCGCCCCTTCTAGGCCCCTCCCCCGGGACACGGCCTCGCCTTCTGGCTCCGGCTCCGCGGCTGCCCTGGCGCCCCCTAGCGCGAGCTGGGTCCTCTGTGGGTGCTCGAGCTGATAAGGGCGATTCTGTGCAGGTAGCAGGTCTCAACACAGACGACCCTCCACGCTCATTTAGTCCAGTCCCCTCATTTTACAGATGGGAAAAACTTAGAACATGTTCGACCACCTCAAAATGGCTCAGTCATTAGGAGCAGGGCTGGGATGGGAATCCAGGTTTCCTGACTCCAAGTTGAAAGTTCCTTACAGTAGAAAGAACTTTTGGAATCAGGAATTTGAATATGGAGAAGCCGGGTCTACACCACAAATAGCTTTGGGGGTTTGAGAACAGACTTTTCTTAGACGCTTTCAGCTCAGAGAAACCACTACTCTGCGCCACTATAGTAGATAATCCCTAAATCGAAGATGGAACGGAGGTGGCGTAACCAGCATTCCAGGTGCAGATCTTTAGCAAGGCCGGGTAAGAACTGTATATACTGTGTAAGTACCGCTGGGCTTTCGTAAATGAGCCCAACACACAGGAGTGTGCATGCCCCATTGGAAGAGCAGTCCCCTGCTGAAATGCTGTACTGCTATTCACAGGTCTTCCAATTTTTCAAAAAAAGCCCAAAATCCAGGTATTTGGATGAAATTTTCCCCCCCCCCCCCCTCCGGTGGCTGGCCAGTACGAGGATCCACATGACTCTGGTGTTATAAGGCTGTTCTCTACCCAACTGAGCTAACTGGCTAGCCCCAAGTTTCCCACTTTTTATTTTATTTTTATTTTTTTATTTTTCTCCTTTTTCCCCACTTTTTAATATGTTGGTAATATTCAAAAACTTTTTAAATGCCATGTAGGCCAAATGAAACACACCTGTGTACTAGATTTGCCCTAAGGACTGCCAGTTTAGAATCTTCTAGTGGAGAGAGCACCAGGCCAAGAGTTAGGACAGCAGACTGGGTTGTGGCAGCTGTTAGCTGGCTGAGTGGCTTTGAGAACCGCTTCCTCATAGGGCTTAGGAAGAGACTGGAATCCTCCATCTGATGAAGGGTTGGCTATATCAGCTACTTGCTGATGTTCCTCCTATCTGATTCTCTGATGATGGGTCTTTGGCAACTGTCATTTTCCTAGATCAGATTTATATAATGGGAAAAGTGTCCAGATGACCAGGAAGGGGCAGGGATGGGGCCCAGGGAAATGGATCCTGCCCCCGCTCCACCCAGCCAAGGACAAAGTTAAACCCAGCTATCTCGGGTCCTAGCACTCGAGTAAGCAAAGGTGAGCACAATTCTCTTTCTGACCATCTAGTTCAAACCAATGCCAATCAGATTTTTCTCCTCTGGGTGTGGCATGTGGTTCCTAATGTCCTGAGTGTGGACGAAGTTCTTGGGAAGAGGGCTGTTCCTAATTTCCATTAATTCCTGGGAAGCCTCTTAGCAGTTGGGTTTATAGCTTTCCAGGAAATCTCCCATTATAGTAAACACACGATTATATATTGAATTAAAGTGACAGGAATCCAGGGGACTCTCCTGACAAGCCCACCTCATGGCTTGCAAAAAGGGGACAGGGATTTTACTCAACCTTCATATGGAAAGAGGTTACACTGTATTTTCCCATGTACTGGCAGGCGTGGAACTAAGACCCTCTGGGTGTCTTCCTTCTCCCTCCTCCTCACTGCAAGGCACCCAGATCTGTCTCTTCTCCCTCCTAACTCTCTCACATTCCACTTCTTTCCTACCTCCAGCCTCATGATCTTCACCAGCAGTGAGTAGGGGGATAACCAACTCCTCCAAGTTCCTCCCAGGGAAGTTCAGTAACTCTGAGAAATGCAAGTTGAAATGTAAGGGAAGGCAATAGCTCTCTGTAGAAATTATATAACCAGGAGATATCGTCCTAACATGGATGCAAAGAACACTCCAAAATCACCTGTGAACTTAAGGGGGGACTTCTGGGGGGGCAGAAAAGGTCTAGGCAGGGAGTAGACCTATTAGGTTTCTAGCACCCAAATCACCTGTCCACAGTTTGTTTAGCTGGCCAAGACTTGGTCAGTCTCTAAGGCCAGATCCTGCACTAACTCGCAATCAACTCTTTGAGCTTAGGACCCTGAAAACCCGGATCTTGAATATCACCTCAAGTTTCTGCCATCCTGAGGATACTGGTCTACTTGTCTACCTAGCCAGATCTTCAGCGTATCACTTCCACTTGCTTCATACTGAGCCAGTCTCTGGCCTTAAGTCCCTTCCCTGAATCATCCCACCTAAGATAGACTGGCTAATATAACAAAGGTATGTTTCTGATCCTGTCAACTCTCTCCTCAAAACCCTTCAATAGTTCCCCATTACCAATAAAATAAAGGCCAAATAAGGCCCTCAGGAGCTAACTACATCTCACCCTGCAGCCTTTTATCCCTACTCCCTCCACTCCAGGATTCTTTGCTTTCTCCTAAGCACATTCTGCCCTTGCATCACCCTGCCATTCCTACAACCACCAGCCCCTTGTTCTCTGTAATTTTGTTGCCCCGCTCTGCAGAGATGTGCAGTCTTCTCAATTCTAAAAATAGTTACTTTCAATTATATCATTTTGCTATCCCCATGAATTAATCTAAATCTGCACTGTCCAATATGATAGCCACATGTGGCTTTTTAAATTAAGATGAAATAGAGCTAAAAATTCACTTCTTCAGTCCACTAGCCATGATACATGTGCTTGAAAGTCACACGTGGCTAGTGGCTGCTGTGTTGGACACTACACATATAGAACATCTCTATCACTTCAGCAAATTCTACTGGACCATGCTGTTCTAGATAATGATCGGTAAATGGCTGCTAACATCACAAAGAGGGACTACAAGACACTATGTGCCTCCTGATAAGATGCAACAAGTATATACTATCGCTTATGACGTGGTCTTACTGCCGCCCCCCAGCCCCCCCAAAAATCAAACTCGAGTCTGGTCAAGCCTCTAGATCTAACACCAATTTAAAGGAAATGCACAGATAAAAGGAGCTTGTTAAATAACACTACGGTGATGCAAATAGCAAAATTGAGGCTATGAAAAACTCAATGGGGACAAATGACCTAGTTTCTTTAACAGATAAACTGCAAAGGAAAAGAGACTTAAGAGACAAACAATAGCAATGTATGGATCTGATTTAGATCTCAATTCAAACATACACAAAAAAGTTACGAGACAACTAGGGAAACTTGAACAATAATTTGATATATTGGATATATTGGATGGCAAGCTCCATCTTGGTATCATGAAGGAATTACTGTTTATTTTTTAAGGCACATAAATGGTATCTTGGTTATGTTAAAAAAAAATCCTTATCTTTGAGATGTATATTGAAATACTTAATAGATGACGTATGACTGAGATTTGCTTCAGAATAGTCCAGGCACCAGGAGAGGGAGCAGTGTGAGGACGGTGTAGATTTCAATAGGACTGGACCTGAGTTGATGGTTATTGGGGTTGGGTGACTGGTACACGGAGGTTTTATTGTCCTGTTCTACCACCGTCTGTGTTTTATGTTTTCCACCTAAAGCAAAAACCCTACTCTTTTCTTATTGGGCTTATGAGTTCTGAAGCTCCCTTACCCTTACATTCCTCACTATATCTTGGCACTTTTCAACTAAATAACTGTTAGGTCAAAGTTGAAGAGGACAAAAAGAGCTCTTTTCAGGATGACCTGTAGCTCTGGTATGCTGGGGAGCCTGAGGCTGAGAAAGATTTGTAACCTCATCAAAATCTTCCTTCTCACACCAAACCCTTCCACTGAGGAACCTCAGGGAGGGGCACACCCCCTGCTCCAGGAAGAGGACTTGGCCAAGGGCTCACCTGCACCACCACTGAACATATGGATGGATGCTGACACTGAATAACCTGTGATTGTCCTCAAAGCTCTTATCAGCCACAGCTAAGCTCCATCTTGGCAGTTTGTCACTCGCAAGCTTAGGAATTCCATGCTCTTGTCAAAACCGGGGCTGCCTGTCAGACAGGTTACACCTTGGGCAGGGCTGAGTATGAAGCCAGGCCTTCAGCCTACATTACTCATCTCTGATTATCTTTGGCTGTTTGGAGACCGTCATCCTCAGTGTCACATTACCAAGGACATGCAGGTGCTTCCCAGACCAGACCAGTGTGTATGCTCCCCATCCACTCACCTCCCATGACACAGTCAAGAAGTCCAAGCTCACAGTAATGTAAAACCATTTGTTTAATTCTAAATCAAATCACTTTCACAACAGTGAAAATTAGTGACTGGTCAAGGTGTGCCACTGTACATATCGTCATTTTCTGACTGTGGTCAGGACCTGGTCCTAGTCCACAAGGGTGGTAGGAGGAGGGTGGTAGGAGGAGGGTGGAGGTGGAGAACACAGAAAACACACACAAAAGAGAGGAAAGCTGCCTTGGCAGAGGGGTGATGTGGTGAACCTGTGGAGGGGTGGTGAGTCCCAAGTAGGTTCTCCTGCCCCAGCTCCTGGCAGAGGGTAAGTAGGGACCCATAAGGTTCAAAATCAAAGCGCACATGGCCAACCTGGCTTTGCTAACAGGTTCCTGGGATGCCTTTGCTGGTGCAGCTTTCTTGGGCTCACTCCATTTTGTTAGTCTAAATGATTCATCTTCCTACCCATAACTCTTCCTTAATCTTTATTCTGGAGACCCATTTCTGTTGGACCCATCTGATTGAATTCCTCTCTCCCTCCACTAGTTGGGGACACTGTACTGAGGGATCCCACCAATTCTCTCTAGACCAGAGGAACTCCAGGGACCCCTCCAACTCTGAGGATTTCCAGAAGGTGATAAAAAAAGCACTCGAGTAGGTGCCCAAGAATGTTTAAAAATCCATCAGGCACACTGTAAAGCTGGTGGCTTATTCATACCAAGTGGATTCGGCAAACGAACCACCTACTCAATACTTTATATTTTGTCTGTTTAAACACTGAACTCTGGCATTCACAGGTGCAAAGGGAGAAGAGGTGGGGCTGTGGAGAGGGGAGGACGTCTTTCCTTGTCTTCCTCAAGGTCTTGGTTTCCACAAACTATGCAGAACCATATCTGGAAAAAAGCACTAGGTGGCGCTTTCTATCACTTGTTGGCTATTGCTGGGGGTTAGCCAGGAGCAGTATGGACTGCTGAAGTAAGAGGACTTCAGAGGAAGTCCACTTTTCCCCAACTTTGGGGTCTCTAGAAAGAGCCTGGATTTCTAGAACAAGGCCTGGAACGCAGAGCAAGAACCGCCATTCCACTAGGTGAACGGACCTACTTGCCTGGCACCACATTCCCTCAATCGGATTTTGAGAAAGAAGCTTGTGAAATCAAAAAACAAGAGCTTCAGATGAATAATTTCCCTTAGATTTCACAGGAAGGAATACTATGTCATATCATTGTGCTGGGGCTCCCTAGGCCCTGCCATCTGGCTTTACAAATCATCAGCCGTTGCCTACTAGGGAGTAACATGCTTCCCTGGTTTTAGTACACATATAGGAAGTTTTCAGGGGAATCCATCAAGCCATACTAAGGTCAGGGTCACATGTGTGTCTCCCCTTTCCCTGCCTCTTCATAAAGAACAACTTGTCTTCTGAGGATGGTGGTCTTCAACATGCAGCTCTGCTGACCTGACAAAGCCTCCAGTTTCCTCTGGGTGGGTTCTGGGAGAGGATGCACTTGGAGCTTTGGCAGCCTAGGAAACAGGGCTTCTTGTTCAGTTGTTCCTGCATCAGAGCTTCGAATCCCACTGAAGTCCCAGCTCAGCAGTAGTCTAGCTGTTTGACCTCTAGCAGAGACAGATACATATATGGGGAAAAGCTGATGGGAAAGCTGAGGGAAGCCATATGTCTCACCAGAGGCAATTTACACCAGGAAACCAGGTCATTCAAGCTGCTCTCTGGGGCCAAAGATATTGAGCACAGCCCAGAGCCAATAAAAGATCTTTGGGTCTCTGGTGAATTCATGAAGTGACTCCAGCCTCAGCTGCTGCAATTATGATCTTTATGGAACAGCAATTTCTTGCATCTCGGCTGAGGAAGAGGAGGGGGAGGGAGGAGGCAAGAGGGCAGAGCAGCACTGGCATCTGGAAAGGGAACCTCTCTGTATGAGGAACCCCACTGGCTTTGGAGGCTACTTATTAAGGGGTATTTAAAGAGATGGAAAGTAAGTTTCCATAAATACCATTTGGTTCATCCCTTTGTTTTTGTAACATTGAACTCAGACGAAATTATACTCCGACAGTTTCTCCCTTCCCACCTCCTCTTCCCTTTGCAGAGTCAGGACCTGCTGAGCTGGCTGGAACAGAATTTCATGGTGTCATCCATAAGAGAGGACTCAACACCAAGGCCTGATGTTACAGGAGGGTGTTTACAGCAGTGGCACCACTTGGGGGTGCTTGCCAACTGGTCTTGAGTTCCAAAGCTCTGATGGAGAAGCAAGACTCCTTGACGTATTACTGATCCCACTGATTCCAGGGGTCAGCATCAGCCAGGAAGCCAAACACCAGGAATGGGGAGTGGCACATCACCAGTCCAGAGGCCCTGCCGTGAATGTAGGCAGGAGCCCATCATTAGGCAATCAGAAGCCAGAACATGATCACGAGGGCTACGAACAGGAAGAGGCGTGACAGGAACTGCTCATCCACGTACTGGGGTGTCCCAGGGACAGCTGGAGGGACAGGAGGGAAAAGAGAGGCTGTCAGAATGCTATAGCTGTGCACACTGCCCATTTGGGCTGGAAGCTAAGAGCATCAATCTTCATATCTTTTTACAACAACAGAATCCTGCATACTAAGATTTCCAAGCCTCAAATAATATCAGTCAAAACAAAAATATGTGAAACAGTATAACAATAAGGAGAAGTTCTCCACTTTGTCCTAAAGAAGTTTGGCCTGCATATGCAAATAAACTAGTTGACTAACAGGAAACTCTTATTAGAGGAAGCAGTAAAAGAAAAGTTACTGTTTGTTAAGCATCTTCTATATCCTAAGTGTTTTGTACACATTATTACTTGGTGGATATTATTATTCCCATTTTGCCTAAGAAGCTGAAGCACCAGTATAAGGTGTCCTGCCAAGATCATGAGGCTCTGAGTTAGTGGCAGATTTGTTGGTCATGCTTCCCAGTCTCTTCATACACTACCTCCCCAGGGCCCCACACGGAGTACCTTCCTTTTCCAGAGGAGAAGTAGGGCCCAGCTAGGCAGAAGGACTTGTCTTCCCCATTGTATAGCAAGATAGAGGCAGAACTGGGGTGGGAACCTAGGTTCTTCACTCCTCTCTGCTTTGAGAAAAACTACCATTTACAGCTCCCTGTCCTGACTTTGTGGGAAGGAGGGTAAGAGAATCTACAACCAGAATGGCCAAATTGTATCAAACATGACAGGGAAAACTGTGATTGTGGTAGGTGGTTAAAGTGATCCAGAGTCCAGCCTGTCTGTGGAACTCTGTTTAACTGGGGAATCCAGGGTGAGCCTTGGACCAGGTTAGAAGGCAGCAACCTAATGGGCAGGTTCCTGCTGTCTCAACAGGAATCTGTCCTTCCCTCAAGGCAGAGCACACCCTGCCCTTTGGGATCTCCTTCCTCTGAGAAAACAATATGTGAACAGTGGAGAAACTCTTGAGATAGGTAAGTGATGGAGTTTGGATGTGCTGTCCCCTCCAAAACTCATGTGGAAATTTGATCTCCAATGTGGCACTGTTGGAAACTGATTGAGTCATGGGGGCGGATCCCTCATGAATGGATTAATGCTCTCCCTGGGGGAGGAGGGGTAGTGAGTGCGTTCTTGCTCTATTACTTCCTGCAAGACCTGATTGTTTAAAGGACCCTGGCACCTTCTCTCTCTTTCTCTCTTGCTTCCTGTCACCATGTGATCTGCTTGTACCTGCCGGCTACCTGCTGCTTTTCCGCCATGAGTAGAAGCAGCCTGAGGCCCATGCCAGATGCAGCTGTCCCAGAATCATAAGCCAAATAAACCTCTTTTCCTTATAAATTACCCAGTCTCAGGTATTTCTGTCATAGCAACACAAAACAGACTAAAACAGAAAATTGGTACTAGGAGTGGGGTGTTGCTAAACAGGTACCTGAAAATGTGGATGCAGCTTTGGTACTGGGTAATGGGCCAAGGTTGGAGGAGTTTGGAGGACTTAAAAGAAGAGAAAAAGACGAGGGAAAGTTTGGAATGTCTAGAGTCTTATGTGGTGGTGAGCAGAATGCTGATAGAAATGTGGACAGTAAAGGCCATGCGGATGATGAGGTTTCAGATAGAAATAAGGAACTTATTGGGAATTGGACAAAAGATAACCCTTGCTACACTATAGCAAGGAACCTGGCTGCATTGTGTCCATGCCCTAGGACTCTGTGGAAGTTGGAACTTAGGAGCTGGGAACCAGAGTATCTGGCAGAAGAAATTTCTAAGTAGCAAAGCATTAAGGACACTGCATGGCTACTTCTAACAGCCTACTCTGAGTTATGGCAGAAAACGCTTGATGTAAAGCCAGAATTTAAAATGGAAGCAGAGCGTAAAGATTTGGAAAATACAAGCCAGAAGTCTTGGTGGCATCAATGTGGTGTTAGGTCTGCAGGCTCACAGACTGCCAGAGCTGGGAAGGCTTGGGAGCCTCCACCCAGATTTCACAGTAAGTATGGGAATGTCTGGGGGCCCAGGAAGAGATCTGTCGCAGGGGTGGAGTCACCGCAGACAGCCTTCACTAGAGCAATGCCAAGCAGAAATGTGGGGTCAGAGTTGTAGCAGAGAAACCCCAACAGTGTCATGCCTAGTGGAGCCATGAGAGTGGGACCACCATGGAGACTCCAGACCTGTGGAGCTACCAGAGTGGAACACCAGCCTGGGAGAGGTGAAGTTTGGAAAGCCATGAGCAGAGCTGCCCAGGGACTGGGGACCCAACCCCCACACCTGTGTGCAGAGGCAGTCAAACATGGAATCAAGGTACCTGATTCTCCAGCCTTGAGATTTAATGCCTACCCTGCTGGGTTTCGGACTTGTTTGGGACCTGTTTTTCCTTTCTTTTGGCCTATTCTTCACTTTTGGAATGGGAATGTGTACCCAATGTCTGTTCCACCATTGTATCTTGGCAGTAGATAAATTTGGTTTTGACTTTTACAGGTTCAAAGCTGGAAGGACTTTTGCTTTTGGTCTCAGAGGAGACTTTGGACTTTGGACTTTTAAGTTGGTGCTGGAGCAAGCTAAGACTTTTGGGACTGTTGGGATAGAATGATTGTATTTTGTATGTGAGAGTGACATGAGTTTTGAGGGACCAGGGGCGGAATGATGGAGTTTGGATGTGTTGTCCCCTCCAAAACTCATGTGGAAATTTGATCTCCAATGTGGCACTGTTGGAAACTGATTGAGTCATGGGGGTGGATCCCTCATGAATGGATTAATGCTCTCCCTGGGGGAGGAGGGGTAGTGAGTGAGTTCTCACTCTATTAGTTCCTGTGAGACCTGATTGTTTAAAGGACCCTGGCACCTTCTCTCTCTCTTTCTCTCTTGCTTCCTGTCGCCATGTGATCTGCTTGTACCTGCCGGCTGCCTGCCGCTTTTCTGCCATAAGTAGAAGCAGCCTGAGGCCCATGCCAGATGCAGCTGTCCCAGAATCGTAAGTCAAATAAACCTCTTTTCCTTATAAATTACCCAGTCTCAGGTATTTCTGTCATAGCAACACAAAACAGACTAAAACTGCAAGGTAAGGAGGGCATTCCCAAGATCTCTTGATGCTGTACTAGATTCCCCAGTGGGGTGCTCTGATGGGATTTGTGCAGGCAGGCAGTCAATAAAGACTTACTGATCACCTGCTATATGCCAAAGACTAGGCTGGGGTGGGGAACTGGGATGACCCAGGAGTGGGTTATTGCCTCTAGAGCATAAGCTCCTGACCAGGAACCACACAACAGTCTTTCTGTACCCTATGCTGTGCCCAGTGCACCTGAGGCTCCAATGAGCATGAGCAGAGCTCAGCTAACCACAGCATCTCTGCAGGCTCCACTGTAAAGATCTTGGCTCAGGTGTCAAATTGTGAGAGTACAAGCACCCACCTCACTGCTCTGCTCTACACTGAATGCAGTAGGTACTTTCCAGTGGCTGGAGGGAAAAAGGCAGCAGCAGGTGGCAGACCTAGGCAAGGTTCCCAAAGGGCTGAGTCTTGGGACCAGTCGCATGTTGTGTCCTGAGGGAAGCTGACAGAGATGCCAGAAAATGTAGAGGCCCTGATTCCTTGTGGGTCACCTGACCCATCCCTACCTCCAAATTGTCAAAGTGTGGGGTACATATGCAGGACCAGGCTTTTCCTCAGCTGCATCTTATTTTATAGACATGGGGTATGTTTTGGTAAATATTACTGAGCATTTTCTGGTCTGTAAAACAGAGCTAATCGCACACTTGTCCCAAAGGGTGGTTGTGATGATCTCCTGAGTTTAGAATGGAAAGTGCTCTGCATGTGCCTATGCTTGGTGTGTGCTCAATACCGTTAGCATGACTGCCAGTAGACTGAAAAGAGTTTAGGACATTTTGAAAAGGTTGATTATTCGTGTAATGACAATTATATGTAACTTACATACTACTGAATTCCAAGAAGCTTTCAAGCAGAATTACTAAGATATCTTACCGATTTCTCAAGATAAAAGGGTCCTACCTGGAGGAGGCCGCCCATCATTTATGTTAAATGCCGTGGCAAATATCCCAAAGGGAAATGCCCCAATTCCAAAAGACATCTGGAAGCCACCATCTCCAAATCCAAATCCTTGAAATCCCTGTGTGGAAGAAATGCAATTAAGAGGAGGGGAAACAAGCAGGTTTCTCCCGTACCTGTCAAACACGACACACTTTACATGTCATCTTACATTTGGTACCCCCTCTCCTCCCTACCCTCTGCCACCTGTTTCCAAGGAGGGACAGCTCTTCTTCCCATACAGATCCCAAAGGGGAGGAATTCTGGCGACCCTCACACCCTACTAGCCTTAGCTCCTAGCTAAGGAACTGTCAATAGGTCAAAAAGGATTGGCTGTGACCCAACATGAAACACTCTGATGATGCAAGTTGGGATTCTTAAAGCTTAAGGTTCATTTCCAGAGTCCCACATTAGCCAGTAAAATTTTCTACATGCTTTACAACAGCAAAATTGGCAATCACACACATGCCCAATAACAAGGGAACATCAAAACAAACCACACATTATCTGTAATAGCAAAAAAACGGTGGAACCCTAATTAGCCAACAACGGAAGTCATGATCAAAATCTCAATATGTGCTCTCAAAGGACCAATATGCTAACTTACATAGTAACAGAAAAACTTTCATGACCAAATTATCAGACAAAATTGTTTGAACAGCATGATCACAAGGACATGACAACATATAGGTATGTTGACAAGATACAGATAAGTATTTTCCCTCAAAAATTTCTTTTAATATTGTTACACAGAAGTTTTAAAATTTTAAACACTAATTTTTTTCTGATTACAAAAGTAATACACGTTTGTTATAAGATATTCACAAATTTTAGTAAAAACTGACAAAGAAAGTCAAAGGTCTCCTATTCACCCTCAAATCTCACAGCCACCCCCCTTCCGCTCGAAATAACCATTATCAGCAGTTTGGTGTATCACCCTCACATTTTTTTTCCCTGAGTATGTTCTACACTGCATCATCTTTCACATGAAGATTCAAAAGAAACAATAATATTGTGAATAAGTAATTCCCTTTTTCTAAGTGTGAACTCTGTGCCAGGGACTGTGTTAAGCACTGGGACGCACAAGTCATGTTTAATTCCTATGTTAGCATCATCCACATTTTATAGATGACCAAACTGATGCTTGGAGAGATGAATTAACTTGACCAAGGGGTAGAGTTTAGATCTAAAAATAGGTCAATCTGATCTGAAAATCTGTGCTCTTAAGGCACATGTCTTAAAAAAAATTTTTTCTCTTCCTCTGCATCCCTGGTGAGATCTTTAGAACAAATGATTAAAAAAATAATGAAAAGAAGAAAAAATATTAGGCCACTGCTGCTCTCCACAAAGAGCTGACTGGCCTTCATTTGTAGGTCTTTTCCAAGTCACAATAATGACCACTTCCTGTCCCACACTGAGCATCCTGGCATCCAACTCCAAATATCTTGCTGGGTGGCACTACCCATAAAGCCTAACAGCTCATTTAATAAGAAGGCAAACCTATAAGGAACGAAAACAGCTGGTTTCCGTCTTCTCGGTGCTGGAATGCCTCCTACTCAGAACCAGCATGACTGAGTCTGAGGGCTCCTGGGACTAAAGCTGCCTTACCTGGGAAGGTGCAATTGTTTCATCAGGAACCACAGCTTCATTCAGTGCAATCCTGAGGACTGACCTTCCTGCTTCCCTTCTAGCAACATCTATATGATCCCACAAGTCCTCATATTTGGTGGATTTATGTTCCTGGGGCAGAGTATGCAAAAAGCATCACTAGGGTCTACAGGTGCCTACAAACCCTGGAGGTGTGCGCCACAGTCATACAGGACAGGGCTTCTAGCTTTCTGGGGTCTCTGATTCCTGTGTTAGTTGCTAATGCTCCATGGGGAACCAGAGCCTGGGAAGGTTAAAGTAGTGCTGCCTGGTGGTCAAGAGCAGAGACTTCAATACCAACCAGATCTGGGTTTCAGCTCTAGCTGTGTGGCCACTGACAGGTCAGTTCACTTATCTGGGCCTCAGATTCTTTTTCTGTTAAATGCATTGATGTGAAGCTTAAATGAGATCATGTATTCAAAACTCCACATATACTCATAGTTCTTTGCATATAATAACCATTCAACAAGTGATCACTGCTAATATTAATAAGGGTAATCCAGACAAGAGACCTCAGTTTCTTTGTTTTTTTGTGGGGAGTGGTGGTGGGGCTGGCCAGTGCAGGGATCCAAACTCTTGACTTTGGTGTTACCAGGCTGTGCTCTAACCAACTGAGCTAACTGGCCAGCCCAAGACCTCTATTTCTATCAAGATCCCTACTCAATAATCCTACTCCTGGGGATCCTAAGGAAATGCCATAATTCACATAAAGAAAAAAAAAATGCATCAAAATTCAATGACATAAATGTCATCCTTTAAAAATAATAAAGAGAACACTTCAGAGCATCATGGAAAGTACTGCCAAAATTAAATTTTAAAGCAGCAAAATGAATGTAATGGCTACATAAAAATATATGTACACAGAATACAGATGAAGAGAACATAGGGAAAAGATTATAGTTGTTCTGGAATCCTGGCAGTACGGGTATATATTTTGCTTTTAAAATCTCTTTAAAGGCCGAGCCCGTGGCGCACTCGGGAGAGAGCGGCGCTGGGAGCACAGCAGCGCTCCCGCCGTGGGTTCGGATCCTATATAGGGATGGCCGGTGCACTCACTGGCTGAGCGCGGTGCGGCCAGTCTCAAAAAGGACCAAAAAAAAAAAAAATCTCTTTAACATTTTAACAGGATTTTTTTAAGACTAAATGTCTGATTTAAATGTGCAAATTTTTTGAACCAGTAATTCTACTTCTAAGAATTTATCCTAATAAAATAATGGTGAATTTGCTCACAAATTTATAAGATCATCAAAATGTTTTTTTTTTCCTTTTTGTCTTTTTTCGTGACCAGTAATGGGATCGCAACCCTCGGTGTTGCGCCTGCACCGCGCTCAACCAGTGAGCAGACCGGTCTCTATATGGGATCCGAACCCTCGGCGGGAGCGCCGCCACACTCCCAAGCGTCGCACTCTACTGAGTGCGCCACTAGGCCGGCCCAACATCAAAATGTTTTTAAAATAGAAAAAAGAAAAGGAACACCAAGGTCAAGGGTTTGGATACCCTTACCGGAAGCAGCTAAATGTTTAACAAAGGATTAGTTAATCCATACAACTGAACATTAAACAGCCATTAAGTAAAATATTGCAGGCATGTAAAATCTCAAAATACACTGTGAGAATGTAAACTTCATTAGGGCAGGGATCGTTGCTATATTCACCGATATATCACCAGCACACAGAAGGCACTTAATATTTGTAGAATGAATGAATTTTTTTTTTTTCTTTTTTTTTTGAGACCGGCTGCACCGTGCTCAGCCAGTGAGCGCTGTGAGCGAACCAGTCATCCCTGTATTGGATCCGAACCCGCGGCGGGAGCGCTACTGCGCTCCCAGCGCCACACTGTCCCGAGTGCGCAATGGGCTCAGCCTTTTTTTTTTTTTTATTTTTAAAGATGACAGGTAAGAGGATCTTAACCTTTGACTTGGTGTTGTCAGCACCACCCTCTCCCAAGTGAGCTAATCAGCCATCCCTATATAGGGATCCGAACCCATGGCCTTGGTGTTATCAGCACCACATTCTCCCAAGTGAGCCATGGGTCGGCCCAGCCTTTTTTTTTTTTTTATTTTTAAAGATGACAGGGAAGAGGATCTTAACCTTTGACTTGGTGTTGTCAGCACCACCCTCTCCCAAGTGAGCTAATCAGCCATCCCTATATAGGGATCCGAACCCATGGCCTTGGTGTTATCAGCACCACATTCTCCCAAGTGAGCCATGGGTCGGCCCTGAATGAATGAAATTTTAAAAGGGGGTTACAAAACAGGAGCCATATATTGCAAAAAAAAAAAAAAAAAAATTAAAATAAAAGAATGAATACACACATCTATAAAATACACACACATAAATAGATCTATAAAATTTGTATGTGTATATATAAAATTAAAGAAAAATAGGAAAATGGAAAAGAAAATAGACCAAAATGTTTCCAGTGGTTTTCTCTGGTTGTTGTGGTTATAAGTGACTTTCCTCTCTCTTCTCCTTTCTGTATTTTACAATTTTTCTTTACTTTTATAATCAAGGAGAAAAATTGTAGGACCAAGAGGGAAACTTCTAAAGCCACGAGTTCATTTCTGGAAGCTTCTCCTAGAATATTCCTCACCCCTCTGTTCTCTGGTTCTGGTCTCTGTCCTTGAGGACGTGGAGGGGTCTTCTCTCTGAAACAGAAATGGTGTTAAAAATAAAGTCTATTACAAAACGCTTTGAGTTGTTCCCTGTGAGGACTGAGAGCTGTTCACCAACAGGGTCAGGGCCAGGGCTACGGCTCCCTTTCCTGCCCAGCAAGTGAATTTATTCTGAATTAAATCAAACACTAACTCTTCATTCTACCTGCAATTGTTTTTCCCAACTGTATAGAAAACCAAGGAGAAAATCAGCTTGTTATGAGATATCCATCAGATTGCACTATAGCCTACCTTTCTCACAGAGATCCTAACCCAAACTAGTTAGGAATGAGGGCCAGACACCTTCCTTGGGCCTTTATAATATTGGATGTGAGAAATCTCAAATCCAAACTGAAATAGAGGGTGGCTTGTAAGAGAGAAGGCTGAGATTCAGGGTGTCTCTGATTAACTTCAGCTCTTTACCTCCCACTACTCTTAGGTGAGTTCCCCAGGCTATTCGTTTTGCCTCTGGGTCTCAGTGCCTCTGATCACTCATCCCACGAATGTCTGACTGAGAGCTTATTACACATCAGGCACTAGGCAGGATGCTACTAACACTAAGACTGATGACATATCCTACTCTTAAGATATTCATGGTTTCAACAGAATACAACTGATCACAATAGTGTGGGAAAGGTATTCTTTAACAGAGCATGGTGGGAACGTGAGTGCGGGCAACTAATGTGGGGAAGAAGACCATATGAAGGAGGAGATGACTTTAGGGCTGCTCCTGAAAAATGGGTAGAAGTTAGAGGAGGCAGCGAGGGCAGGGGGAGATGGTGGTTTCAGCAGGACTGGGGAGAAAAGAAGAGGCAGAGGAAAGCAAATACAAAGGTTGATGAATGCAAAAAAGCAAGTCTCTTTAAGAAAAATCCGGGCTGACCCCATGGCGCACTCGGGAGAGTGCGGCGCTGGGAGCGCAGCAGCGCTCCCGCCGCAGGTTCGGATCCTATATAAGGATGGCCGGTGCACTCACTGGCTGAGCGCGGTGCGGCCGGTCACAAAAAAAGAC